GGTCACTCCTAGCTGTATCATTCTCTCCAGACTATAATGGTTTATTCGTGCCTCAGCATTGTTCACTTCTCCACATCTAGATTACCATACATAAACTGATCACCCTTAGGTGCAGAACCTGTCAGTCTGTTCCAGTCGCGTACTTAGATATGAAAGGTCGAGCAGATGCCTTAGGTACCACTTTAAAAAAGGAGGGGGCGGGAGAGGGGCGTCAAAACATTCCATTTTTTTTTCAAAGTGGCATCTACTCATCTGGAGGAACCATAATGAGCTTCTTTTTCTTGAAAAAAAAATTAGAAGGGAGCCACCCTACGAAGATACAACCATTCAACTCTGATCAGCACGAAAGTCGTAAGAAACGAATCACTGGTGATAACTCAGCGGAGAAAGAGGAAATCGATAGGGTCATGAAAGCAACACTTGACCGCCTTCACAGAGAAATGGCTGAAAGGTATACATGTTTGCATAAAGCAGATGCAAAATATGGGTTCCTCCTGGACATTGAAGGGCTGTGTTATTGTTTAGATTCGAACTAAAGCAGAAGTTGAAAGCTGATATAAATTTTACAGCTCTTGTGAGCGGCAGCTATGAGAAGAGAGTTTGTATTGCAGAATGCTACTGTCAACTGATACCCGCTCAAAGATAACACGATCTAATAAACTTCTGAACTGCATTATTAACAATGGAAACGGCAGTGTCTTTCCTAATCTTCACACAACTGTTCAGGTAATAGTAACCACTACAGTTTCCACTGGCAGCTGCGAAATATCTTTTAGTAGAATTCAAATGATAGCATCAGGTAGAAGATTCATTAAAGAAGTTAAGGCTCTCCTCCGAACGGCATCATAATATGGCGGCCATAGTATGATGCCGTTCAGAGGAGAGCCAAGTTAACTGTCGAATACCCCAAGCAAAGGCAAGGCAGCATTTTACAAAATGAAAACTATTTTATAAATCCTATATTGATATACGGGTGTGAATCATGCACAGTTAGTAAACTAGTGAAAACTTTTTTGGAAGCTGCGGAGATGGGGTCTTATAGACGAATGATGAGAATACCCTGGACAGATAAAAAGAGCAATGAGGATGTCGTGAAAGAAACTGGCTCATGGAGAGAACTGATTGCACACATCAGAAAGAGACAATCTACATTTGTGGTCATGTGATGAAAAGGGGAAAACAGGAGTACATCGTGACTGTAGGAAAGTTGGAGGGGATGAGAGGTAGAAAGAGACCGAGAGAAGGTTAGGGCCAGTTGTACATGTTATGGGGGTCGTTAAAAGTACGCACATTCTGTAATATAGAGCAAGCGTGGTCACTGGTAAAAGCGTCGACACAATACAACGTCGCACCCCTGCCACTTAAACTTGCACGCCTTAAAGATTAAGACGCATAAATAAAGGTCCAATCAGAGTGTCCTGGCCCGTCTTCGTCACTCATAAGTGTGTAGCTGGGCCCGAGCTCGTTATATGTTCCTTAGGTTTTTTTCCTGCCAATAGCCAGTTTCATTGCTCTACTTACCCCAGGCGTGGCGTCTAGTTAAAACCTTTGAACCACAGGGCTATCTATTGCAGCTACCACGAGCTGGCAACAAGACGACGTGCTTCCTCTGGTGGGGCGTCTCATACTTTTAAACTCTTTCCCCTGTGGATTTGGGGAGCCTCGTATGGGTGGGTGGGTGTAGGGAGGGGGTGGGGTTGATAGAACCATTAGCCTCTAATATTAAGAGGATTTATGAGTGTTTCCTTCTCGAATTTGTCGTGCGTCTGTCTAGGAGACAAAGAACCAAGAGTCTGCATCCAAATAAGCCACTGGCCTTTGTAAAAAAAAAAAAAAACTGTGCCACAAAACTCAAGTGCTAGAACAAGACCGTAGTTCAAAAGTGGGCGAACAACCAGAATTTGAGTTTACAGCCGCTGAATTCTAAGAAGCAGAAGATGAAGATACCTCGAAACAAAGGGGAGAGCCATCTGACTTTGTTGACACACAAAATCCACGACCCATTTGGATTTCCCCTTTTATTAAAAAACTGCTCTCTCCGCACTAAAATACGCAGTGCGCAAAATGTTGTACATGGAAGTAGCTCACACACACAAAAAATACAATTTTCGCATTATGGTGGGCTCCTGTAGTATTCACTAAACTACGACAAAGTTTTACAGTTTCAATTAGAAGGTTTTTGGGTAATGCGTGTTTGAATAGCTTCAATGGAATTATATGTACTTCTTCTTCTTCTTCTTTTTCTCTTCCACCTTGTAACTCATCGAAGTGTCGGGGGGCGATTTAATATTCATTGATGAGCTTTGTCAAGAGCACTATTAGGACTGATGTTCACTTCTGTAAGGCTGTTTTCAATGCCATCACTCCATATTTTCCGAGGTCTTCCACTCGCTCTATACTTGTTGTAATATTTCAGTGTGGCTCGCTGTTGCAGATAGTACCAGGGTGTCCAAACAACTTCATTTGTTGTTCTTTGATGACCTGTAAGATTGGCTTTATTCCTAGCATCGTCTGATTTCGTGATTTCGTATTCTGTCTTTCCTTGAAACTCATGCAGCTCTTCTACGGCATTTCATCTCTGTTGTCACAATTTTACGTTCATTGGAGGATGTAAGTGTCCACGTTTGGCACTGATAGCATATTATGTGTACTACTTTTTGCAATTCGAAAAAAAAAATGTAGCTTTGAGTGGCTCATTTTGTTTGTAGCGATATAGTCTATCTTCTTCTTCCTATAATCCATGCCGTGTGGCGCTAGTAGTCACGTCTGTCCACAACTTTCTGCCTGTGAACTTTCAGTCAGTTCTGACACAGAGGATCTTCCATCACCAAAGAGTGTGTTTGCCTGTTCATTTCGCAACACACATGCATACCCTAGAGAAACGATTGACATAGGCCAATTACCGGGGATTTCTGAAACTATGTTTGCCACTCTGCACAGAGCATACATGTAGTCTCTACCTTTTTCAACATGCTTTATAAATTTGCTACAGTAAGAACATGTGTGCGCCACTGGTGACTGTCTTTATACCTCCATTCTAAAGCTATATATTAGGGCATCATGAGAAAGACATTGTTACAATAAAAGTAATCCAATCGCTTGTGTGTGTGTGTTTGGGTGTGTGTGTGTGTGTGTTGCGAGTTAGAATATCTTCACAGCACTCCGGACACATCCAAAGGCGCTCAGATTACCCTCTCAACATATTAATCTGTGTCGTGCGGTTAATAATGTTGGTTAACAAGACTTCTTGTGCATCTCATGCTTGGCTGTGCCGATCTTTACTTCCGATTCGCGTATTCTTAGCAGTGATGTGAAAACTTTGCTGCCAAAATCCTCAGAGCGTCCTATCTCTCTAAGGGCAATGACAATGTCCTCGTGATGCATTGGTCGGCCATCTTCAATTAATGCCGCACATGCCAGTTTATCAGCTCTTTCGTTACCAACAACGCCTGCATGCCCTGGGACGAATATGAAGGTAACTGCACACACAGGAGAGCTTTGCAATTACTCAAATCACTGTCTGCGTAGCCAGCCTGCCTCGACCCCCCGGACCATGCTCGAAGAATCACTCAGCAAACACACGCGGGATTAGTCCTGTGATTCTAGTCACATGAAAGATTGTGTCACCGCCATCACCTCCATCGTCATGCTGCTGATAATCATGAAGAAGGCACCGCTGGCTTCTTGAACTGTTCTGCCCGAAGAGCGAGCTGTAAATGCCCATGCACTCTTATGTCCTCGTATAACGGGCCCGGCTGTGAAGATCACCACATCTGTCTCATTTGACTTGTCACTGATAAGCGAGTATACCTCAGCATTGACAGCAGCTGGATTCTGCTCCCGACAACTCCTATCGCGCGTCACGACACATAATAATGTGAGACTGGGCGCTTTGGACGCTGGTATACATTCCTCACCTGGATAGATGTCTGTAAGGCTGCTAACATGCATGATGACATCTACCGAGCCATGATTTGACCCTTTTAAGCCTATTGCCCTTTTTCTCGAAGAGCATGAGGTGCAAAGGGTGCTTTAGATCTAAGCTTATTTGAGATATGCACGAGCCCTCCAGATCTCGATCCTGTAGTTTATGTTAGGGAAGTCGAGAAGGTACTTCATTGCTACACAAGAGGTGTCTCCTGTGCACCCCAGAATAATGCGCATTGCTTCATTTTGCAACTTCTCGAGTCTTTCAATCAGAGTATGGCTGACAGTGAGGATGGCTAAAGCATATTCGATGGGAGAAAGTACAAGTCCCTGGAAGAGAAGCAGAAGCAGTCTCTGCTCAGTGTTAGCGGCGGCCAAGACCCTCATTGCTGACAGGCCTTTGCGTGCTTTTGCTATAACATGATCAACATGTTCTTTGAAGAATATGCTGCGATCAAACCTCACTTCGAGGTATGTCATCAGATTTGTTTTCGTCAAAATTTCCTCGCTGCTTTCCGCTGCTGGTAAGTTTGCCTTCATTATATGCGTGTGCAAGGAGAACCACGTTACTGAGGCCTTCGAAGGGTTGACATCAGCATTAGAATATGCACACGAGGAGGAGATGCGATCAAATTCACTGTGCATTGAATTGGCAATCTCTTGACATCTTCCATGTCGATATACCAAGAGGTAATCAGCAAATGACAAGGTCCTGCCACTCCCGCGCAGTTGCTGCTTAATTATCAGCACTGTGTATGTGTGTGTGTGTGTGTATGCATATATATATATGTTTGTGCGTATGTATGTGTGTGTGTTTTGTGTGTGTGTGTCTGTCTGTGTAAGTGTGTGCGTAATATGTATCGATGGATGAATTGATGGATTTATGGATAGATGGGTGGAGCATGCATGTGTGCATACATGTTTGCGTAATATTAACAGCATTTTCCAGTTCCAGTATTTCATCAATTAGATCCTAATCCAAAGAAAAGAGTGACAACAGACCTGGGGATAATCAGTAGCTGCCTGAATGCCAGACTATACGAAACACGGAGTACTTGTGAAACTCGTAAATCATGGCAAATGCTGAACCTTTTGTAGAAGGCAGGTTAAAGCGCAGTCAGGTAAGAGTATTATTGTGTGCCAGGTTGAAAATGTGTTTGTACGTGTAAATTGTAAAATGAAGTAGGTTATAGAAGTGAAAAGTATCCGTAGGCGATTGTCGTGAGGTGAGCAGCCACCCTACACTATGGACGAGTCGGGATTCTGAAGTCCCCTACGCGGACAGTAAAATGTCAAACTTGGACCCGTCCAGAAGGGTATATAGTCCCTTATATTGATCTATACCTTTATCTGGTAGAATATTCATTTCTAGACCTTCTAGTTGCTTTGATAAATCTTCCTTTTCAAACTTGCAACTATAGGTTGGCGAATTCTGGTATTTTATTTAGAAATTCCTGTAAACCGGTTTACTCCTTAGGCAGGAATACAAGGTAACTTCTTTCTTAGAGACGTTAGTTTGATTTTGAAAAAAATCATTCTTCCGCCTGATCCCAAAGTGACAAGACGTGTATACAGTCTATGTAGAAATTTGGCGCATTCAAAGTTCCATTTCTATCTTGGAAGATTTCCTAAGCTTGGGATGATACCTCTTTAGAGATCAGGCAGACGAATCACAGGCCAGCCAACAACCACAAACTCATACCATTCTATGCACCAAACATAACCAGAAGTCCTGCCCTTTGTGCCACTACCTCAACATGGCAAGAGCGTGTTTGTGAGCTCCAGGACGAGTGGACATTGGGAGACATGTGTGTCATCAATCTAGAGAAACAGTCTTCAAGAGCTTGGTTGGGCTCTGAGGCAGTTTTGTGACCTGACCTGTGAGAGAGACTTGTTGAGTCCCTATGCAGTTCCTGTGTCCTCGATGGTGAGGTAATCAACTGGTACCAGATCAACTAGAGGCATAGATACCTGAGTCAACTACAATCGAATCACCATGGACTGAGGGGAGCATCGACCTACAAACTGGGATAAGTGATCTATTAATTACCATCATGCTTTCTTCCCACAGCTCCTGGTGATTTCATTGATGAACTCATGTACTCTCCTGACCTAAGATCTGGCTGCTTCAATGTCTGGGTTGTGTCACTGACTCCTGAGCGTCAGTCAATGAACATTCTTGAGAATCTATTCATTAAAACATATATATACATATTGTACTTATTACATACATTTATTTTCATGGCCGACTTATTTGTCCCTGTTTCACCATTCTAACTGTTTAGCATTGATATGTGTGTGAGTAATAAGTGTTATCTGTGTTAATATGGTTATGATAGTAGACTATCATAACCTGGGGGCTATCTTTTTATAGTAGTGGGGGTGTCCAGCTGAGTGTGCCTATGAATAATATATATTTTGTAGTGCCAAAACTTGAGTTGCCCTACTCCTGAAATAAGTTGAGCGTATATTGGACACGGGGTATCCCTTAGACCAATACGAGCCAACGACTCAACATAATTATTTCAGAGTGCTGTTGGTTCTTAAGGAGAAATCCTTAAATCAAGCACGTGACAGGAGTGATATGTGACAGCGATAACGCATAAGCTTGTTATTTGTATCTCGACTGTTGGTTCCTTACACCTCTCGGTCAGGTGTACTCTGACACAGAAAGAAATATCCTTAATAAGACACCGTTTACAACATTCTCATTAGGGGGCCGTAGGTTCCACCCCACCCGCACACACACAAGTAGGGGGCTGCGTGGTCTCGATGCATGGCGTTTGCCTCGAGTGCTGGAGGTCCCGGGTTCAGGCCCCGATGAAGGCTGTAATTTTTTCACACGGACTTCAAATAATTTCCCCTGGTCTTTGGGTAGTAAGATCGGACGCCCGTGTGCATTGTTGGGCACGTAAATAAAAATCCTTGGCAGTTTGAAATAAAAAAAAAAAAAGTAGCCTAGCGGCGCTGCCCGGGCAAAATTTGGAGTTAAAAATCTACCCAAAATATTTCAGAATCATCGCCCGTGATCGGAGTTCGTGGACTGCGCTGAGTGTCTTTGGACTCAGGCTTTGAGTTAGAATTAGATCTGAACTCTTATGGGTTACTACCCTTGTGCTATAATGTTGATCCGTTATTTCAACCTAAACACAAATACGGTCCCTGAACCCACACAGTTCGTCAGATATTTTATGATATAGATGCGATATACAATTAGTTTTATTAAAATTTTAACATAATTTTTAAACCAAAATGTGTTTCAACATATATGATGTTTGTACGCGTGCTCGTGTATGCGCACTCGCCTGTTTGTGTAAAAGCTAGCCAGTTTTGTCAGTTGTGAGTTTAGTGTGATATAAGAAAGTTCTTTTGTACTCTGTGTATGTGTGTGTTTAATTAGATCGTGGTCTTCAGCAAGACTTACTCCCCCGAAGGCATCATATGTGAGAACATCCTCAAGGAATACGACAGATTTCTCCCTGGCGACGTATTTGAGTGGGTTAACATTGAAAAACGTTCAGATTGTCCACAGGTACGTCATTTGCCGCTTTTACGACTTAGTTTTGATTGTTGCCGAAGTCCCTGTATACAAACAACGGTACTCGAAAAAAAAAAAAAAAAATAACATTCGCTGAAAAGATTTCATTTTTTTTTCGACTTTGTCATCAACTTCCAGAGACTTCTTTTTATACTTTCAATTTTAAGGAGTTATAGGCCTGAAGATGGAAGGTGCCGTTTGTGGAAGGCGAGGCAGGGGTCGCCCACATTGAAGATGGATACAAGACATTGAGGATGCATTGACATTGAAAGCACATGGGGCCGGAGAGCTGGCTAGGAAAAGGGATACTTTCAGGCGCGCCGTGAAGAGAGCGACGTTCTGTAAAGGACTTGGTGATTGGTGATGATGATGATATACCTAAAATCACCCCATGTGAGTTCGAAGATCTAATTCTTGTGGAGAGGGAGAGAGAATCGATCCACTTCTTCCTCTCTTTCAAGAAGCATGTCGCAACAGACGACTAAATAATGGTTTTCTGAAATCGGTGTGTTGAGCCGAAAGGACATATATCACAGCCTAGTCATAAACCACAACACAACGTCCTAGCTTTTAAACCAATTTCTTTTGAACAATCTTTCTACCAGAACTGGTCTCCAGTCGACAAAAGTCGATGGCTCTTCATTTGCGCTATGTGTTATATCATTCACACCTCAAGTTACTGTAGGAGAAGCCCTGTGCTTCAAAAATAGTTTTCAAATGTATAAATAAGTGTTCATTTTCATAATACCCCCCCCCCCCCCATCATATACCGTATACGGAAACTGTGTTTCGTTCCTAAATAGTTACATTAAAATGTTTAAGTACAGAATGATTAGGGTGTGCTTTTCTATTTGTCATATGTTCTCAATAGATTCATTTCTGTACATCTTACATGGCTCAAGTTTCCCTGCTTGTCCCCTGCTTGAAGAAGATAGTACAGATCGTCTGCTCACTTTCAGCAGGAATAATTCTTTCCAGACATGGATGTGTTGGTCTTGTGTGTGTGTGTGTGTGTGTGTGTGTGTGTGTGTGTTGCACTGTTCCGGGGGCGTGGCAAGGGTATTTGGCGCCCATGGCGGAAAAAGAAGGAAAATGCACATTATTTTTTTAGGGGTGTAATTTATATTAGCGATAGCACAATTTTGGGAGTACTTTTAACGATTTTGTAGTGCATAGTTAGGAAGGCTTTCCAAGTAAAATTCAAAGGATATAAACATATAATGGGTCTATACTGCTAAAGTGTGTAATTTGCATAATATAAATTCTGAGAGTGTTGTAAATAACCAATGAATTAATAATGACATCACTAGGCTATTACTTCAAATTCTAGACATAGGTTATTATAGTCAAGGAGTCTAAATCTTTAGCATACAGATCAGTTTCTGGACCGAGCAAAATAAACTTGCGTACGTTTGTTTTCGTCTGAGTACATTAACCGAATATTTTATAATAACAAAAACCTGTTTCTTATATTTATTTTCATATGTCCGTATCCGCAATAGTAGTAAATTATCATTTTTATTTTCTTTCATATCAGATCAGCAGGTTAATAACTCTCTATTTTAACAAACAGTGACACTTAAATGGCATAAGATTTAAACTACAAATGTGCTTTTTCCTGCTTTTACTGATGCAAACATGTTTATGATGTGCTCAGCGTGTTTGTTTCTTCTCTTTCTAAGCTAAGAAGAGTAGGATCACAGAGTCTGCCTTGCTCCAGAGATGCACATAAAACATCAAAGCTGTTCTGCGAAGGGAGACTGAGCAATATGGGATAAAACCCAGTGCAATGAAATTGATCCTCTTGACCTTAACTTTTTAACTTGATAAAACTTCATGAACTTCGTTTTATTTTGCCGAAAGATCTCTTGCAGCTGGTAATGGAAACCGTAGTGACTAGCATTACCTGAATAGAAATGTGAAGATTAGGCAAGACACTCATCTCCTTACAGAACAATGAACTTGAGAAGTTCTTTAAGTTGCGTTATCCTTATGTTGGTACGACTTAGCAGTAGCATTCTGTAATCTAAAATCTCATTCTATAGATGTTGCCCATTAATATCACAGCTGTAAAATTCAGTCCAAAAATAACACAGTCCATCAACATAGAGGGGAAACCCAAGCTTTGCATCTCTGTCATACAAACAAGAATACCTTTCAGCCATTAGATGCTTTAACTTTTTTCTTTATGAAACTTTTAGGTTGAAGACATTTTTGGCTATTTTCTGGTAAAAACAATAGAGAAGTGCCACTCCTGCATGTTTTTTCTTTATGAAACTTCCAGGTTGAAGACTATCTGTGGCTACTTTCTGGTAAGAACAACAGAGAAGTGCCTCTACTCTTCGTTAAGCGCCGTTGTGTGGGCGGGTACGATGAAATAGTACAGATGCATCATGATGGAAGGCTCGAAAGAATTTTGAAAGGTCTTAGTCTAGGGGACGATGACACAGATGAAGAGTCAGATCGCGGGAAAGATGTTGAGACTTGTCAGGTTACCGTGCGTGTAGAAGAACTTGACGAGACGGAAGTGATAATTAGAGTTAACGATTCTATCAATGAAGTAGATTATCATGCAGATTATAATGTCAGACTGGATCAGGCATCATTTACTGAAATACGTGATTTGTTTAAACAAGAACAAGAAGAAAGGGGGCTGAAAGTGGACACGCCTCCTACAGGAAGCGAAGTGTCGGCTATGGTTCCACTGTGGATGCCAATTGCCGGCACTCACAGCAAGCAAGCCGTAGCGGAGATACTGTCGGAAGAAACATCTCGTTTCATTATAAAGACCAAACGTGAAGGGAAAGGAAGCAGTACGACACAAGAGAGTACACAAGAGAGTACACGAGAGAGTGAAACCGTAACAGGTTCAGAAACTGGGACCGATCAAACTGGCGGCTCTAAGTAACATTGTGCGTCATGTGTAAAAATAAATCACAAGAACCATTATTTATAATTTAATTTTGCAAGTGCATCTGTATGTCTATTAGTGAATTAGTATATATCGGTACGCCGTTATAAAGAAAATATGGGTTTGTTTGTGTGTGTGTATGTGTGAGGGGAGACCTCAGACTCCTTATATAATTTATCAAGATAGGGTCAATAAAATTTTTAAAAAAAAACCTTTTCTACCCAAATGCAGTTTTTCTTTTTTTTTTTCTGCGACTCAGTTGTTAGTTATGTTATGTAGATGTGGGCTCTCCGCACTTGATTAATCGAGGTATAAAAATTGTAGATGGAATGTGTAAAGATGACTGGTGCGCCTATCAAACTATTTGATAACAGTATGCATATAACACAGTTGGACAGGATTCGTCATTGTAAAAATCATTTATTCAATCATCATCATGTAACAGGTCCTTTGCAGAACGTCGCTCTCATCACAGTCTGCCTGAAAGAAACTCGGTCTCTCGCCATTTCTCCCGGCTCATGTACTTTCATACTCAAGGAGTCATTTATATCCTGTGCCAATCTTCGTGTCGGTCGGCCCCTGTCACTCCTTCCTGGTACCATGCCTTCTGTTATAATATTTATCCAATAAACAAAATTATAATGTATTTATAGTTTGTATTTATGGTGTAGTGGTTATTGTATGCAATGTGAGAAATAAATGCTTTTTTTATATTTATTTAACTTCTTTTTTTTTTTAATAGCTTTTCTTTTATTATAATCAAAATGCTAATTTTCATATAGTATTTTTCATTTGCTCTTCCCGTCTCGTATTTGATAGTTTTGTTTAACCTCGCAATAATGATAATTTATTCTTCCGCCTCCTCTCCTGCTGCTTTCAACATCGGGGAAAACATTTAGTCCAGTCCCGGGGGCGTCACTAACAGAAGTGCAGCTACCCAGTTTGTTTCATAATGTAACTCCGTTGGACCAGATGGGGGACGCTCTCTGCCGGGAGTACTCATGGCAATCAGGGAGTGTGTGTTGTCCATCAAGATGATGATGACCACTCTTTTTCATCAAGTATGAGTACGGAGATGACTGATGAGACCGATGCGGGCCCGAAAAGTTCTTGGACAGTGAGGACAGGGAATGAGCGTTGTGCCAGGGAGGGAACCTCCTGCAGTCGCCTTTCTGTCCATCCTTTTCTTAAAAAGTCTTGCTGTTCTGTTTGCTTCACATGTAGCCGCGCCCTTGTGTAGAGCTGCACGCCATGCATTTCGGTCTTGAGTGGCAGCCTCCCAATTGGTGTCATTCATCCCAAATGCTTTGAATGAAGACTTTAAGGTGTCCTTGGGAACGTTTCCCATTTTGCAGCTCACCATAGAAGAGTTTTTTGGGGAGCCGGTGATCTGGCATGCGTGCCACATGACCAGCCCAACGAATTTGATACTGCATCAGTAGAGTGTGGATGCTGGGCCTGGCTGCTTTCTCAAGGACTACAGTATCAGGTACTTTGTCCTGCCATCTGATATGCATTAGTTTTCTAAGGCAGACTGTGTGTAAGTGGTTTAACTTTCTAGCCTGGCGCTGGTATACAGTTCATGTTTCACATGCATACAGCAGTGTAGTTAATACAACTGCTCTGTATACTTTAAACTTCGACTGCAGGGTTATGCCACTTCTGTTCCAAACATTTTTGTGCAATCTGCCAAAGGCAACACTGGCCCTAGTGATCCTTGCATTTACTTCGTCATCATTTGAGGCACTCTGTGAAAGGGTGCTGCCTAGATAAGTAAATTTCCCGACAATGTTTAATTTGTAGCCATTCACTGTGATATTGGACTCGATGTATCTTTGCCCTGGGGCTGGCTGGTGCATGGCTACAGTTTTATCTTTGTTGATGGTGAGCCCAAAGTTTGTACAGGCATCACTGAATTTGTCGATGTTGTACTGCATATCTGTAAAGATAAAAGAGTGACTTGCGCAGTGGCTTAGATTAAAGTGAGGAAGAGTTGCGCAGTGTCGTCGACCTCACTCTCTTGCCTAAGTCATATCTGGGTCTAGTGAGTCAGGACGACAGGAAATATGTCTAGATGCAGTGGATGACCAGGGCTTTCTACGTGCCTCGCCATGCTCTATGCACTCCACAGCGCTTTGCTAGTGTCGCCGTCTTACCCGTTGAACCAGCTATGGTTTCCTTCGCGCATTGTGCCGACAGTAGTCTTTGCATGCTTGGATAGGCAGTTCCTAAACTCACCGATGGAAAGGAGCATCGGCTACCTTCACTTGGTTTTGCCGGCCTGTCAAAGCCGTTGCCTGGGGGGTGGCCGCTGTCAAATCGGGGAGTAGATGCCCAGGAAGCTCTCTGACGGGAGTACTTATGGCAATCGGGGAGTAGATGCCCAGGAAGCTCTCTGCCGGGAATACTTATGGCAATGGGGGAGTAGATGCCGAGGAAGCTCTCTGCCGGGAATACTTATGGCAATGGGGGAGTAGATGCCCAGGAAGCTCTCTGCCGGGAGTACTTATGGCAATCGGGGAGTAGATGCCCAGGAAGCTCTCTGCCGGGAATACTTATGGCAATGGGGGAGTAGATGCCGAGGAAGCTCTCTGACGGGAGTACTTATGGCAATGGGGGAGTAGATGCCCAGGAAGCTCTCTGCCGGGAGTAATTATGGCAATGGGGGAGTAGATGCCGAGGAAGCTCTCTGCCGGGAATACTTATGGCAATGGGGGAGTAGATGCCCAGGAAGCTCTCTGTCGGGAGTAATTATGGCAATCGGGGAGTAGATGCCCAGGAAGCTCTCTGTCGGGAGTAATTATGGCAATGGGGGAGTAGATGCCCAGGAAGCTCTCTGTCGGGAGTAATTATGGCAATGGGGGAGTAGATGCCCAGGAAGCTCTCTGTCGGGAGTAATTATGGCAATGGGCGAGTAGATGCCCAGGAAGCTCTCTGCCGGGAGTACTTATGGCAATTGGAAAGTAGATGCTCGGGAAGCTCTCCACCGGGAGTGCTTATGGCAATTGGAAAGTAGATGCTCGGGAAGCTCTCCACCGGGAGTGCTTATGGCAATCGGGGAGTAGATGCCCAGGAAGCTCTCTGCCCCGCATTCGTCGTAGCAGATTTTCTTATGACCATTTTGTGTAGGTGTGCTCCAAACCGCAGTGTCCGTAGCTTAAAAATATTTATTTGTTCTTTTCTATTAAGTAAAGGTCCCTTATCCATGCCTTCAAGCGTACTCGGCATCTGCCTGAGAAGCAAGGAACCAACTGTCTGCACACAAATAAGTCAAATCTGTAAAATGGATGTGCGTGCAATATTCAGGTTCGGAAAAAGAACAAAAAAATTCAGAGAATAATAAACAACCAGAACTTTCTGCCGGAGTTTACAGCGGGTGAACACGAAGAAGACTAGGAGCCCTAATAGAGCACTGACTGGATGCTTTACTGAAGGTACTGGATTAGGATCCATAGAAGATTGATTTTAAAAATTAACTCTTAGACTCCTCAGTGTCGGATCGACGCATAAGCTAAGTAGGCCACAAGTTTTTAGGCAGGAACCTGTGAACGCATGATGCATTCTTGGGATTGAAATAGTTATTTTTCTTTAAGTTGCAGTTTTCTGTAATATATTTTTAATGCAACTTTCTTTTAGTTTATTTTAATTTAGTATTTTTCATTTGCTGTTGTTGTCCCATATTTGATTATGCACCTTTTTTTTAAACACTGTCTTAATAACTAAGGTCGTCCTCATATGTGACCTAATTTTTTCGTTAATTTGAAACCTCACCCTGGCTTTTGTTGGGGGCCGCAATATAGCCTGAAAGTTGAACCCGGTTTCCTCATCCGCACTATGGCACTTTGTGTCACCAGGTGTTTATCGCTTGTGTGATTTCTAGGTGGGGTAAAACTTTACCTACTCACTTTAAAACTTCTTTTTTGTGTGTCTGGACAGGAAGTATCTTTCCAAAACGGTGGAGCCTCGGAACTTCTATATGGTGTTACAGTTTGTTTAAAAGCGAACTTTGGTTACGTTTAAACCTGTGTGAGTTTGGGACAGGAAGATAGCCTTGCATGAATATGTGTATGTATGTGTTACTGTTGTTTTACTGAATCGTCAGTGCTGTTGAAAACGTAAAATTTATCCCATGCTTAGTTGCTCTAAAATAATGTTACCTTTATATTTGCCACATACACAAAATTAATGCTCCATACGTTGATGCTTACTAATAAATGTTAAGGGATTAATCATTATTGTTACGACACTCTAATGTTATTCCACTGTTATTTATTTCTATATTCTGGTCCTGCGTCCCAATTTAAACATACATTAATGAAAGGAGAACCATAAAATATATTAAGTGAAAGTTAAAAAAATTAAAAAACAAAATGCCAGAGGAAATTGATGAACATTACAGAGATGAATTCAAAGAAATAGGAAAAATATCAAGACAACTGCTGGTGTCAAGAGATGTCAGACAAAGAAAGGCAAATCAAAAGGAGAAACGGACAAAGAATTCACAAAAACAGGCACTGAAGTAGGAAACAAATGGATTGATGAAAGAAGACCAAGAAAAAAAGGTGAATGCTGATAAAAAGAAAGTATAACAGCTGGACTGAGATCCTTTAATGATATCAAAAGAATACAGGACAGAACTGAAAGGAAGATTTGACCTAAAACCTTGTAGCGAGAAAACAGCATGACTGATGATGATGATTACACACAAATGCAAATAATTGTTAAAACTCAGCCCAGCGACAGATTTAAAATTGATGAGGCCCTAAGCTATGAAGTCTGCGTCTGTGGCTAAGATGTTGCAAACGTGCTTCATAATGCCAGGGTGCCAGATTCCACCCTCGCTGCGGACCCTGCGCCAGTTTTGACAGTGTTATCGAGAAGCTGACCGTCCAGAAAGCAATGGCAAACTACTAGATGTAAATTTACCTTAAAAAACCACAACAGCCAAAAATGCCGGGGTTGGTTCTGCAATGTCCTGTAAAGGATCCATAGCTAAC